TTTGGGAATTCTCACGCGAAGTAATTCACTTGAAATTACTCAATTATTAGAGTTTTTCAAGCGCAAACCTTTGTTATTATCAGCTAAAAGCGGTTTTTAACCTTATCGTCCTGTGTATTAAATTTCAAAAGCACAGATATTTATATTTTTGACGTTTTAATTAGTTCCAATAAAAACAACAATCCCATTTCAAGAAAGAATTCTATCGATTTAAAGCCCCGCAAACCCGTCAACCACGTTCTGCACAAACACTTGTTTCTCTTAAACACAATCACAAAACGTAACGTTAAACTCTCCAGAAAGAATTATTCTCCAATACCATTGTAAAATTAACACGTTCTTTCTACATTTCCACAAAAAAAACTTAATCCCCTCCAAATAAAAAGCGACCTGTCGGAGATAATTAAAAAACTTCGCGACTCACTTCCTTCGCATTGAAATCTCGCCTTCCGGTTAACTTTCAAAATATGATTTTCTCGAGTGTATTCAAATTTAAGTCTGAATAAGAGGCAGCATTCTATCAGAGGAAATTCAACAGTCGCTTCTGCTGGAAGAGTACATCCTGTACAGAAATACGCATTGATGACTGTTTGAATTTCATTTTCTACCTTTGAGGGATTTTCTTCGGCTTTTGTTCATTTCCTTCTCTATTCATGACATCAGTTCGAGAGCTCAGAGTTCGCTAATACTATTGATATATTTCAGCATTAATTATTGGTTACTGGCGCGGCTTAAAGCGAATAAAACGACAAAGTAAAACCAAAATTGAGGGGTTAGGGAAAGAACGTTGCGTTGGTTATTTGTTCTTTCGTGCGAATTAATTTATGGAGAGTATTTCGGCATCCATTTTATAATCGCAAACGTAAAACTCGATGAATATCTTTTTTTTTTTAGATAATATTATGCAAAGCATCCGACCATTTTTGCCTAAAAAAGGATTTAAACTAGATAATTTACTTATTTTAGACAAATCCCTTTCTAGATAAATCGCGGTCGAGGTTTTTCTGGAGCACCCATCGCGACTTTCTCTTCCAGGCTTTTCTTTGGACGAACGCCACCCGGCTGCCGTCACCAATGATCATCGCCGTACATACTAGAAAGCCCTCGAGAAAACCCATAGGCGTCTTAACGGGGCACCGTATGGGTTTATTTCGTAACAATATCGTCCAAATATGCCAAGGCTCTGCTTACAGTTTTTGTTAGTGTCTTTATATATACCTACGTATGTACATTGGAGATTAAACAGTATAATGAGTTTTTTAAAAAGTGTGCATGTGTATTAATGTAGCAGGTAATACAAAAATAGCACGAATGTGGTATTGAATTATGAATCGTTTATTTTCGTAACGAGATCTCGATAACTTCCATGCTGTCGCATAATAATTAATTATTATTAGAAATATTAAGTTCTTTTGGTTGAGCTACAGTTGACTTTACACTGCATTTCACTTTATGAAATTTTTAGAAGTTGAATAATTCAACAGTGTCCAGAAATTATCGAAGAGCTTCAACAACAAGTGGAAGTGGTAGCCGCTATTTTTTATGTTATTGTTAATGATAATAACTAAATAAATAAATAAATGCTTGACAACAAATTTGATTATCCACGAAAACTAGTAAACTAAATAAATTGAACGCGTAGAGGAAAGATAGGAACAACCTAGTGCACTAATGGCCCACATACGGAGATCACCGACTGGACCTGGATGACCTTAAATTTTTGATCACATGGTTAACTGAATTGTGTCCTTTATTTTAAATAATCTCGTCTCTTTTTCTTAATAATAAGTTTTGTCTTAACGTGTAAAATAACTTAGTATAACACAAATAAATTCTATTCTATGAACATATTCTGTCATTTTGTTCACAAAGTATCTAGGTGTTTGACCTATACTGTTTTTGTTATTTTAGATTAACGCATTGCAGTGCATACTATTTTCTTGAAAACAAATCAATATTTTGTTTTGTTCAAACACAACAATGCGAAACTCAGGTTTCCTATTTTTCAAACAATGGGAAACCAACCATGACCATCCGACTCAATCACCGAGATTTCCTTGTAAACACGAACCATCATAACCAGGAATGTGTGCAGTTCCATGAGAATGTATGCAAATAGCGATATCTGCTTATAATCAATACTTAGCTTAACTTAAATTTTTAGTGTCCTGATGAGCCATATAACAATATTTTCGTTTATCTTCCAAATAGGTTGTATTTTGTTACATATGAGATTTGAATAATTAACAAACTAGAAAAACTCGTGAACTAGAAAAAAGTTATCGCTATTCCAGACTATTCCATGCGAACGGAAACTCTCTCCAGACTGTACTGACGTCACCCGACTCCATCTTACAACCGATACCCCAGCAGCCTTTCAATCCCGAGCATCGAGTGACCAAAATTTCTCCATTTTCTAATCAAATATTCATCTTTTGGAAATTACGATTAGTGTAAACATCCCTTCCCCCAGCAAATCAAATCCGAAGCGGAAAACCACCGAAGCATCCAAAATCATTTAACCTCCGATAAGCAGCACAAAATAATATTCGATTCGAATTCGCCCTCCGGCACGATAAAACTGCAATTGATTACCCAGAGCGACCCATCAAATTTAATCATTCGCTTCCTGACTCTGCGGGTGCTTTTTAAATAACGGACGGCATTATCTGGGAGATGAAACCCTCGTTTCACAACCAAAGATACACTCACTTAATAACATTTCGGTTGTTCCAAAAACAAAACATTACCCTTTGGGAAAGTCCTTTCGGTTCCGGAACGACCTTGGAAGCGTATTGATTGCGGAGGGCCGTGGAAAATATACGCTACTTTCAACTTATCTAGAGTGGATTAAGTGAAAGGAAACTGAGAGTATCCTCGATATCGATACTGGATCTATAATTCGGGTCATTATTAATGGTGCGTGCTGGAAACTTAATGGATCGGATTATCCGCTTCGGGGATTGAGAGGGACTAGGAGTAACAGGTGAATTAAGAAGGCTGGGGATGGTTGACGTTTGGTGTGTCACAGCTTGCTTTGATGCGCGTCGAATGAGGGTGGTGTGAAGGAAAGATATTTCTTTATTTGAGTTGCGTTCTCCGTTTTGGAGTGTTTTTTCTTGGTTTTACGTAGCAGCTGGAGGTTGAAGATCCAAGGAAACTGTGCTACCTAGTCTAACAAGATTGCGTGAAAGGTTCTGAAGATATAGTAAAAGTAATTAAAGAAAAGGAAATTATAGGAAAGTAAATAAAATAACGAGTGGAAGCCATATAGTAATAGACCCAAGGGGAACCGAAGAGAAGATGGGAAGACTAAATAATAAAAGATCTGAAAGATATAGGAACAAAAATGGATGCAAATTAACAGTAGACCGAGATGGAGAAAGAAAGTGGACAAAATGCAAGTCAGGTCAGGTCAGGTCAGGTCAGGTCAGGTCAAGTCACTTAAGAACGGTTACAAATTCTGAAGGAATGTAATAGTTTCAGCTTATTATAGTAAATTTCCTGTATCATGCCTTTGCTGGAATGGTGTTACAGTAACTGTAGGGTCTAAAGATTCAAATAGTCATTGTAATTAGGAACTAAATTCACGAGTTTCAGTGAACACAATTTGAAAAAATGGCTCGGAAGTAGCAATAACCCAGTTTTTGTCATAGTGAGCATTTTACTTGTTAGTAGAAGTTCGTGGATAACTCTGACTCCTAAAACACACATTAGAAGATCGCTATTTGTGATAAAATTTCAAAAATATGTAGATATCAGCAAACAATCTACTAATAACAGTCGAGTGATCTAAAAAAATATACATTGCGAATATTTATCTCCCAAAACACGAATAATTACTTTAAACTTGAACGACCACACAAAAACCGGGAAACTGGAAAATTAAATTACAATTTCTCGTTTAATTTAATATCTTCCAAATAAATTTATCAACTGTTTTTGAATAATTAAACCAAATTCAATTTCCTCGAAACGCTAACATAACAAAATTGATCCGTGATTTTAACCACTTGTTGCGCTCTATTCAGAGACCCAAAAAGCGAACAAGAAAAGAACAACCTGTTGAAACGGGGCAAGAAAAAGCGCCCGGAGAATAAGAGGCGTCATCTCGTGCTGGAAACTCGAGAACTGTGATAAATTCCTGCTTCGTAGATGGAGTGAATTTTACAAAAAAAAAAGATAGCAGGGTGCAGTAAAGTATTGCATTATATAATGGGTATCGAGGTGGAAGGTATTTCATTCTTTTCGAAATAAAAGATTCACCGAGGTGCGAAGAAAGAAAGATTTTTTTATTCGCACTCATTTTAAATAGCTTTATAAATAAATAAAAAAAATCCTAATGTAAAACGTCTATTTCCGTATAACTTATCCAAAAAGTGACATGTATAACTTGACAAGCATTACCATTTTTTACGTTGTAGGTTTGAACATGTCATTTCACAGCGATGAAATAAAAATGAAGTCAAAAGGAGCCTGTGAAGGATTTAAAAAGTTTGGGACGTCACATTACTGACCGATTGGAAACAAGTATATTTTAAACACTAGAAAGGAATAAAAAAAACGGACGAGGCCCCGGGGGGATTCGAACCCCCGATCTCCTGTTTACTAGACAGGCGCTTTAACCAACTAAGCCACGGCGCCTTCGAGAAATGTGAGGATGAATCTAGTAGAAATAGTACCCACAGATATGATATTTGTATAAACAAATTTTTTTATAACAAAATAATACTTTTATTCAAATTTACTAAAATATTAAACTTGTTCCTGTTGTTACGGAACATGTTGCATCTATCCGCTACTAGTTTTCCGGCAAAATTAAGCAACAACGTATTTTTGGTTGCATAACCTCGAAATATATAATCGTAACAACAATTTCAATCAATATGAGAATTCCAACAAAAACGCTCAAATGAACTGGGTACATTACACAAATTCTGTTATTAAAATCTGCACTTTCAAGCTCACGTTTACTTTCATCAAATATCTGAAACCCTAAATAAATGTTGCAAACTTTATTTAATCGAAAAATCTCGTCACAACTTGTGTATCTTTTTAGAAGAAGACGTCAAACTGGTCTGCTGCACTAGCTTTCTTCCCCACCTTCTGCACCTGATCGATTCTTTTCTGCTGATTGTCAATAGCAGCATTTAACCTCTTGATATTCTTCATTATATCCATATTCTTCTCCTCGATCTTCTTTACATTCTCCTCAGTGACTTTGGAACACTGCTCCGTCTGCTCGTTAATCTCTCCAATTTGAGCCGCCAACATCTTTCCTCGTTGAGCCTCGACTTCAACAGACTTATACGTGTCAAACAATGCAGCTCTCATCTCATCGTACAGCTCAGAGTGTGCAGATTTGGGTATCGCGGTCTTTTGTTCGTTCTTTTTAATGGCATCCGCCCTCTTTGTGTATGCTTCCTTCACTGCTTTGTGTATTTGAGAAGCAAGATTGCACGATGTTTGAGCTTGCTAAGAGTTACATTGAATATAACCATAATTATGAGAGCAGAGAAACTTACATCGACTACTCGTTTTCCTTTTTCGTCTTCTTTTCGCAATGCGTGCTTCATTTGGGCAGCGATATTCTCGTGGCGGCGCTGCATTCGTTTGGCTATTTCTTCCTTGTGGTCAGAGAGCAGCTGCAAGAATCTTAACACACAAAAAAAATTAAAACCTAGAATAAGAAGAATACTTCTCGATTAGAATCGCGGGGTAGACTTCAAATAATCTCTCCAGATGTTTCTTATTTGGAGCTTTGTTAATTGCTTGCTCCCACATGTACGCAGGTAGCAGGAACTTGTCTTCGGCAGTAACTGAGGTTTCAAACACCGATTTTGAGAGGACGCTGCGTTCGATTTCGTCGAGGATTTCCTCGCGTTTGAGCACCTACAATACGAAAAGTAGAAGTGGAAAGGCGAGGAAGATTTTAATGTTGGCACCTTGTTGATCCTAAGTTGAATTCTATCATGGAGAAGCAAAAGCATTTCAATTCTTAGATTTTCGGGGCTCAAGTCTTCGAAAGGTTCAAACTCCCCACGGTCCTTTAAGTCTTGCTCCAATTGATCTAAAAGTCCTACTATCGTCTCGTTCTCCCCAGGCGCGACTTTCTCATCTAGTTCATCTTCTATATTTGACAAAAGCACTTTGTAGAAAGTGACAACTTTTTCTCTCTCTTTTGGATCCTTTCTCCTCGCGAGGATCTTCTCCATTTCGTACTCGGGTACTTCTTCTTTGAATTTTTGTTCCATATGCCGATCGAAGAGGCTAGACGAGATTTATTCCACCAAGTTGACACAACTAAATACGCTCACCCTTCGCCTCCTCCTAACCATTTGGGTTCTTCTTCCTCCAAACTCACAGCTACGTAAGCAAAAGCGCCTTGTCCATCCGGTAATGTTCTAGTAGCCATGTAAGTCCTCCCTTGTTTCGCGTCCTTTCCACGCGCCCCAACATCCGCCTCGTTGTCCTCCAACCAAATGGGAAGCTCCAGTGCGTCGTCCTCCTGTGCTAGCTGGAAAATGTCGATAGCGTTGGCTACGTTCACTTCATTGACAGGCACTTGAAACTCTTTTCCGAAAATTCCAGTCTGCATGCACAGAAGTAGTTGGGACAAGTAGATGTTACGTCCCCTTTTTTGTTCAATACCGTAACACGGCTCTCCGCACAGTTTCTGGAGCCATTGCTGGAAACGCTTGGTTAGAGGAAGGTGAGAGAATTCGGGTTCTTACTTCGCAGTGAAAGCGAATGTCTTTGTCCCGCACATGTTTAAGGTAAGAGTTGACGAAGCCGAGGTAGAAGACGAAATCTTCGTCTAGTTTGTTTTCTAGTTCCATTTAGCTGGAATTTTGACGCATAGCGTTTGACAAATTGAGTTGGAGGAGGCTAGCAGGGCCAACGACGATTTCCGAGGCCGTTTATGTAAGTCGACTGTTGCCAAAATGGGCGAATAGTTTTTAGATAAAAATCATTCCAGTGGTGCTTAAATTTTCAAAGTACAGTTAACACAAAGGAAAAGGGTCCAAATACGTAAGGGTCCAAAAACAGTTCTTTATTCGGACTTTCAAAGTGTCTTCTTTCAATCCTAGTACCTCCGGTTTGTAACATTGAAAACATGGGTTGCGTGCTTCGAACGACAATACCCACGGCATCATTAGACCTGACAGACATAACTCTCGCACGCTGCATTTATAGCGTGGAATAGAATACAGCGCCTGCTTTCTGATTAGTTCTCTAAATAACTCAATCCCACCGTTTGTGTTAACAGTGGCAACGTCGCTGCGGTTTTCCTTGTCTGTACGCTACTGCGACGAGGTTCATTCGTTTCCCGCGTAGCTAGGCTCGACCCAAGGTCACTGGCCTGCGTGGAGGTTTATTTTTAGATGCTTAGGTAGCGAAGTCTGGCGCATTTCCGTATTTTTCTACGTACTATGCCTGGCGAAGTGCATTGCGGTCATGAAGACGAACACAGATTTATTCGATTCGCATGTTGACGTAGATATTTGGGATAAGGTTAAATGTGTTGACCTTGCAATGGGTAACTATTGGATTTCAGTGACTCGAGCAGTCTGATAGACATTATGGGTTTCATTGCAAAAATGCTTGGACGGTGATTAAACGACCCAGATTTTATATTAGGATTGGGAAATGTAGTGAATTATTTAGGAACTAACTATGACAGAGTTTATTTTTGGCTGAATAATATCGTGGACAGATTTATTTTTGTAAAGCTACAAAAGAAAGTTCTATGATATTGCGGGCTGTTTCCTTTATTTTTTTATAGGCATATGAAGTTATTCTGGCAAATTTACCTTTTTTAATTGGAGATGTTGAAATCATGTTTTTCCTGAAAACTACCCCTTAACACCTGATTAATTTTTTTAAGTGTTTTACCACAAAAGTTATGAGATTTTTCCACAGATAAATAATACTTGATTGTGTAAATTGTTCCCAATATCTACGTTTTCACGAAGACGTGTGGATTACATTGTTAATGTTATTTAATTTGTGATAAGTACCTACAAACAAAATTGTAATGGATGTAAAGTATTTAACTGATTTTTAGCAAGGATTTCATTTACAATATTAATAAATAGTCCAATATCATTAGAATTAGAACCATCTGACATATGACATCTTCACTATTATCAAAATGTTTACATATAAAATCTACTGGATTCAACCAGATTCCCCATCTTGTTAATACGGGTTCTGGAGGTATTAGCAGATCAGGATTTTTTTTTGTAAGATACACATGCAGGAGTGCTTTCACAAGTACTTTTTAACGTTGGGAACTAAACTCTTGACAAGACGAAATTTAATTTTAATAACTTCAAAAAACCCATCAGGACCACATGTAGCAAGTATAGTAGCCTGCATAGATATTGTAGCCGTCCATAGAGTCGAAATTTGCGAATAAAAATAAAATAAAACCGGCTCAAACGAGCCGACGACGGCTTGCAAGTTCTGTCACTACGACACGCGTCACATTACACAGGGGTGTATTTAAGACTGTTTGCACAAAATCTTAGGGTCACTGTAATCTTACTATTTTCTATCTACAACAAACGATTTGTCACACAGCTACGAAACCGATGATCTAGAGAAAGATGGAAGTTTGAAAATTTATTTCAACAAGTGTAATAACCGTTTGGTGCAACACAATTGGTTCAAGCAAACTAAAATATGACAGGAAACAAACAGTCCACGTGGACTAGTTTATAGGCGTGTTTGCTGCTAAGATGACTAGGTTTTTCGCTCCACCTGCCTCCGCAACGATGAATATACCATACCACAACTTGTGTACTGTGAACAGAGCTTCGATTTTATTGACGAGATTCAGCTCAGAAATTAAACAGATTATACATATCATAACAGAAAAAATGATATTTAATATTTAATACGTCTCTGTGCAACGTGTGCCAGAGTGATGTCAGACTTTGCAAGCCACCGTCGGCTCCGTTTGAACCGGTTTTATTTTATTTTTATTCGTAAATTTCGACTCTATGGACGGCTACAATATCTATGCAGGATACCTACAATGAACTAAATCTGGGATTTTTTTAATTGGTTGCTGGTTTAAGCATGTAAAAAGCAACATCACTGACTAATGATAATAGCAACCGAAATTTGAGGTAGTACTAAACAAAAATTAATCAAGCAATTGTTAGTTAATAAATTTAGTAACTCAGTAACTGTTACGCTATTCGTGTTTCTTAATTCTTTAACATGTATTAAATACCTATCATTTCCTGCTGTATTGTTCTTTAAATTTGTAATGTATCTTTCTTTGACATTAGTTGTTTCATTAACTGAAAACAAGATGGAACCGTCACTGATGTCTTGTAATGTGACTGGAGGACTGGGATGGAATTTTGTTTCTACAACGATAAAATATCGGTACCGATAAAATGTGGTCGTCTTTTTCTTTCGCATCTGAAATTTATATTTTCGTCCTTGTCATTTATCGCTTCGTATCGTATTGCTAGAAACAAAATCCCACCCCTGGACTTTACATGGATGACGTTTAGTGAATACATATATGGAATAGAAATTATGTCCTTCCTACTTTCTAGGTCAGGTATTTTTTGTTGCCATTATAGGCGTCCTGTAATTCTTGTCATCAGGCTGCAAATTTTTTTTGGCAGTTTCAAGAGTGATATCAAGCTTAACTTAAAGAAATTACTATTCTTTTACTATGCTTGTCTAGCGCACATGTTAAATTCCTTTCTTTCCAGTTGTGGGCCCAGGTAATTTGCCACAATTTTTAAAAGTAGTAATAGTTATTTCAACGTCTTAGTTCCAACATATTAGTAATCGGGTTCATCGGCCGAATTGCCACTTTCATATTTTCTTGACATGTCATGACCTCTAGAGTACAAACAAAGTAGTCTCCCGTTTCCGTCTGTCTGTCGATCTGTCTGTATATCAGTAGAAATATCTTGTAAAATTTATATATAAAAGTTTATTTAATTTTATAAAATAAGATACTCTTGAACTTGTGGTGTGTAAATCCGTGCCGAATTTTCACCCTAGACATCCTGAAGTTTTAGAAAAAATGTAAAACTGAATAAGAATATTTTGCAATATAACTTCGAAACTGCAAAGCCGATTGCTCGGAAATCTCGTAAATATTTTAAGGTCATCGTATTCATGGTAAATCGTTAAGCAAAATTTATTCTTTACCCCCTCCCAGAAAACTGATTACGTCACCTCAAAATTTCACCGAACAAAATGTGCCAAAATAAGTTTTATCTTAGCAATTATTAGCCCCGCGCACCCACTCTCTATTTTCTCAGAGGGCATGGCATTTGCCAAAATCAGTCCTAGCCCCGCCCACCCGCCCTCTATTTTTTCAGAGGGTATGGCGTTTGCCAAAATCAGTCTTATCTGAGCAAGTACTAGCCCCCCCCCCCCCACCCGCCCTCTATTTTTTCATAGGGTATGTTATTTGCCAAAATAAGACTTACCTTAGCAAGTACTGCCGTCTGAAGAAATAAAGGGCCCGTGGGCGGGGCTAGTACTTGCTAACATAAGTCTTGTTTTGGCAAATGACTTATCCTCTGAGAAAATAGTGGGTGGGTTGGTTGTAGCTAGTACTTAGTAAGATAAGACTGATTTTGGGAAATGACATACCTACCCTCTAAGAAAGTAAATCCGATATCCCAAAGCAACGTTGAGTTTGTTATTTGATTAATCAAAATCTTTTGTGGAAAGATTAACGATGAGATTTTTTTTGCTATAACAGCCTTTTCGTTAACTTTTAATAAAAAATTGTTTGTCATCATAGCAGCCATTGGGGTAACGTCCAAAAATTTGGACGTACAGATATTATGGAAAGTGAATAAAAATGTCACTCAGTAGGATTTCGAATCCACGTCTCCCACTTGCCGGGCTGGCATCATAACCATAAGGCGGCGTTAATTTACCTCGGCTTACTTTATATGTTATATACTGGGCCGCCACAATACTCCCCCTGAGCGAGAGCACGGTCGTCTTGGAGTGCGAAGGTGTTGGCGTCGCTCCGACCACTCTTACGTTGGTTGCTCGAACTCTGGAGCTGCGGACCCCGAAACACAAAGTGCAGGACGGTGGCCGAAGGCTGTTTGAACGCGTGTTGCCTGTCGGTGGTAACCAGTTGTAGAAAGCGAGCAAAAATGTCTGACTCAGTGGGATTCAAGTCGATGTCTCCCACGAACATCATAATCACCAGGCCATAAGGCGGCATCTCTGCTCACTTTCCACGTTCTATTGTGTCGCTATAAATTTTCTTAAGACATTTTCCGTGTGACTGACAATAATTTGATGACGTGGTTTCCAGCTAATGCAACAAAATTCTAGATTTGACCGAAATGAAACACAGAATAATATTTTTATACACTGCAAGTTGATCCAATCTTTAGTACATCTTCATCTAAATCCCAACCGAGAAGGTTGGAATTCTTATTCCTTCGTTCTTACGAAGGCAGCATGTCGTATACTTCCAACAGTACGATTTTGAGATAGAATGAAACACCACAGACACAGATTAGAAAACCCTACCGTTTTACCGGTACTCCATAGGCGACACTTATTTTTCATAAGTTCAGATAAACCGAATTGCTCCGCCACTGCATAGCGATACTTACGAACCAAGGGGCGTGGTTAACGCGACTGCATAGTCGTAAACGGTGTTTAAATTCAGAGAGGTCGGTGCCACAAATTTCACGGTACTATCCCTCCGTTCTTATTCCATCCTCCTCAATCCCAACATTCTCATTAAACGTTTAAACATTTTTAAAATGCATGTGAATGGAACAAAGGACAGACAACAACAAAAGCATATAATATATTATACATTTATTTAGGTTTAAAAGATAGTAAACTATTGAGCTGTATTTCTACACTAGACACTAAAC